GGGGGGGGGGTGGGGGGGGGGGGGGGGGGGGCTGCTCCTTAGGTCATGATATCCCTCTAGCCAAGTGAAGAGAGCGGGCGCTGGTCCTCACTAAGACTCATCTGTCAATCATAGCTTCCGTTCATCAGTGGGAGCAACCTGACAGCCACAGAGCCTTTCTCCATCACTGAGCACTGAAAACCCGCTGATCCTCAGTCTAGACCCCCGCACATGCTCGTCTCTGCACATCCGAACAGATGAAAAAATTGCAACATCGCTTTTACAGCATGTAGACATCCTATCCATCGCTTAAGACCACATTCACTTTGATAAGCGATTCTCTTTCAAGCGACGGCAAATCCATTATGTTTTCACTCAGATCTGCATGTCAGGGTGTCTCCCGTGAGTTCCAGCTTCTGTGCAGTCACCCAAACCCTAAACAGCACACAGACACATACTTTTCCCTGGCCAATGCCTGCTCCATGTTGACACTGGCTCACAATTTATCTATTTCTAGCTTGCAGGCTTGTCTCACTGAGAGTTTTCTCGCTGGAGCTGTGCAGCTGTCAAAGTGATGCAAGAATAGATTGAAGATAGAATGCAATTTCAATTGCTGAACTGGTTGACAAAAAAAATGTTTTCCTTTCAATGGAGCTTAGATGTATGTTGTGGGAGCAATTATCCATTAGGGGGACACAGAGCAGCAGCTCTTTTAGCCATGTATGGAGAAACTATAATCTCTTAAATGCAGACTCTTGTGTTGAATATGTGTGTTGGTATTCCACCCCAATGGGAACATTTTGAAACTGTGGGCTGGCAGGGAATTCTGTCAAATGTGGTTGGTTGCAACATCTCACCAGGTCTGTCAGAAGAAACAGGGAATTGTTGTCATATAGGGGAGCATGTGCAGGTGTACAATTAAAGGCTCAGCACAAGACATGGCATGCTTGCAAAAAACGTGGCTTCATAAATGTGATTAGCAGGCAGCCTGTCAGATGGATGAACACATTCAAGATGACAGACTGTCACACTCAAAATAAATCCAGTTCTATAGACGTGAGCAGTACATTGTACTATACTGTCTGTGTTGTTTTCTGTCCCAGTAGTGCTTTTCAACTTAAATACCACTTGGAGGTAAACCAATGCAATTGGTTTGGTCTCCTGAAGTAAAGAAGCAAAGGATTACTGGCAGCCCAAAGACACACTGTTCTCTATTATCAAGCATCAGTGTCTTCTTCAATGGACACTTGTCAGATGTCTTCTCCTATTCATCATGTTTGTCTTGCTTTAAACTGTCAGAAAGAGCTGAAGGTTTACTCCATTCACAGCTGTACCAAAACTATATTTACTCTGAAATTTTCTTTCACAACTGACATTGTTTTCCATGAAGACTAGTTTGGCATTTATTTTGTTATCTCCAAACTTTGAATGTGCAATGTGCAATACAGACAAAATAACATTGCTATCTTATCTTTAAATGTATGAGACCCTAAACATTTTAGGGTGAATAAAATGCTGTGCTACTAATATGCTCTGTTAATGGGTTGTAGCTATTGGCTTTATTAATGGTTAGTAATATAACTAAAATCCAAATATGACTTGCAAGTATTTTCCTATTAATGGTTTGTAACTGATCCACAAAGTATAATGTATTCATTCATTTATTAATTGATAAACAATTAATGAAGCAATTCAAAACAATAACAAATCTGCGCATTATGACATCTTGGAAGTTGCTACATAACAAAAGCTACTAAGTTTTGAATGATCGAGAGAGAGAGGACATTTTGATGCAGTCACTTCATCAGAGTCTCATGTAAATTACAGTAAAATGGTGCAGATGTCATTTTGGAATACTGTGTCTTTGCTTCTGGTTGGTTGGTGGACATGGTGACTAGCTTTCAGATCCTCCAGAGAAGATACCTGACAGCTTCTCTTATGCGTCGTTGGAACAGCTCCAATTTCATTAAATCAAAGGTCGACTGAATTCACTCTCTGACCAGTTAGTGGTCTGAACTCATGAATAATTTAATAAGATATATGGCAGCCTTTTATTTCATTCGTCCACAATAATAAATCACATGAATTTGGATAGATTATGTTATCATATAGTGTTGAATGGCCAGAGACAGTATTCTTTAATTTGCCAGCAGTCGTTCTTTGTAACAAATCAAATGTGGGCACTACACTTCAAGGATGCCGTGGGTTGGGACGGGGTTATCAGCTGTAACCGGCTCATGAGATAACGCCAGTGAAGCATGCTCACATGCGCTAACATGCACTA